CACGACGGTGATGGCGCCTGGCCAGTGGCCTAGAAAGTGGCCGGTTAGCTGCAGACCCAAACGAGGCCGGACCAGGCAACGCCGAAGACACGGAAGCCGGACCAGGCGACACCGAAGACACGGAAGCCGGACCAGGTGACGCCGAAGCAGAAGCTGCAGCTGGCGTGGAAGATGAGGCCGCAGCTGGCGTGGATGATGAGGCCACAGCTGGCGTGGATGATGTAGCCGCGACGAGTCTGAAGCCGGGCCAGGCGAGGACGACGAGTCTGAAGCCGGACCAGACAAGGCTGAAGGCGGCGGCGTGGAACCCGGAGACGGTGGCGCTGCAGGTGGCGGCGTGGAAGCCGGAAACGGTGGCGCTGCAGACTGGACTGATCCCTCGGACCCTCCAGCGACGACAGGAGACGAAGGCCGGACGGGCCCCTCGGGTCCTCCAGCGGAGACACGAGACGAAGGCGGGAGCGGTCCCTCGGACCCTCCAGCAGAAGACATCACCAAGCCAGCAGTCATGGAGCCCACTAGCTGACACAAAGGCGATTGGCTATGCACTGAGCACTGGCTCTGCCCAGGCAACGCTGACATGGTGCAGTTCTCAGGTGGCTGCTTAAACTTCAGGGGTCCAGAATCAGCTGGGGACTGAGACCTAACCTCTGGGGAAGCCCTGGAGCGGCAAACTGTGCCAATGGCGGCTAAACCATGAAAAGCACCTTGAGTAGAAACAAGTCTTTCTCCCTGCATGGAGTGAATAAGTGAAACTGGTGATACTGGAGCTTGAACTACGAGTAACGGTGACACAGGGGCCTGAGCTACAGGCGACACTGGAGGCGCTGGAGCCTGAGCTACAGGTGACACTGGAGGCGCTGGACACTGAACTGAAAGTGACACTGGAGGCACTGGTGACAGAGCAGAGAGTGGCTGCGGGGCAGCTAACTGAGCTGAGAGTGGCTGTTGAGCAGGTGATACGCTGTTCACATAATCATCTGCCGCACAGAACACAGCCCCTGAATGAACAGTCACACAGTCCGAAAACGGAAAAGAGTCCTCACTCACCACAGCCGGCGAATTAGAAGCCCGAATGTCCGGCTGTGGGGTGGCGCGCCGGCGGCGCGATCAGCGTTTCCTCCCCGCAGACGGCTCCGACAGGCCGGGCAAGATCACATCCGGCGAGTCGGGCAGTGAGGCAGGAGTGGCTGAGAGAAGGTGAGGTGTGAGCCGGAGAAAAGCCTGCATGGTCGGAGGAAGCGACTTCAGAAGCCATGGCAGGCCAGAAAAGAGCCGTTGTAGCCGGCTTTCATAGCTGGACTGGCCATCGGGCATACCGGGCATTTGCCCGGTGGGCCGCTGGCGATTTTTTGTTTTTATGGGCCGATGGATTTTTTTTTTTTTTTTTTTTTTTTTTTTTTAGGAAGGGTATATATAATGAAAGGTGTTGGATTGGCCAATTGGTCATGATCGACTCTGGGCTGGACCAATTACAGCCGAGGAGGCTGGATGCACCCTCCCCCTTGTTTAGCAATCACGTGATTTTCGCACATTGCATGCCGGGAACTCGTGGCAAAACAATCCAAGTACCGCATCAAATGCAAGCGTTTGCAGCACCGCTAAACGGTCATTCTCCGGTTCCAATACCTTCTTGTTTTTTCTTTGCCGCACAAAAAAGGAATGTACAAAACAAAAGGAGAACAATGCCGGTCCATACAAAGACAGACTCGACGAAAAGACAAAGAAAAATACGAGGAAAAAATCAAAGGAGTGAAAGGGTCAGACCCTTAGGAGCACCCAGAGTGGACAAAAGACGTCAGCGTGCTGCCCAACTTTCACCACGCTCAGATTTATAATTATACGGTTCTTGGAGTGAGTGCATACACTCATGAAGTTTAGTAACTTCAGATCACTGCAACAAGCCCAGGTACAGTTTACCGACGGATGGGTGCAGGACCTTGAAATGCACCGTGTAGAACGAAAGACCATCGTACGAACAAAGGTAAGTTTACCAGTCTCACAAATCGTCCTCATAGATACACATTCGTTAACCGTTTATTAATATAACCTTTGAGCTCAACGGTAATTAATTAGTAGTGGAAATAATTTCTGGTACCCATCACAGAAATGTAGCAGTGACAATAATATTGTATGCTGTAATCGTACTGGACAATTAGTGATACAAAACAACTGTTTTACCCTGTGAATAAAAGTATATGTTTTTGTCAATGTACCATGGTAATAACAGAAGCGAAGCGCAATATTGTGTCAGGACAATTCACTATTTATGCACAATAAACAAAAGAGCATAGCGCGACAATTTCTGTTCAGCGCCAGACTTGCTTGTAACCTATATCACCAATTATGTTAAGAAAAATGATGTATTAACTACTACAGCAGACTGACCTTTGTGGGAATGCTTGGAGCAGACTAACATGTGAGCTGAAGTGTTCTGAGACGTTATATTTGGTATATCCAGACCATCCGTCGGCTCTTACTTCGGAAACATGGCTTAAATTTCTCTTCAACGACGTAATCCGATAAAAAAAACCGATCTCTTTACCCGTCGGCTTCCCGTGGCTGTCATGCGACCAGCTATTGCAGTTAATAATACAACAGCTTCTTGGCATTTTTTGGGTTTCTTTTTATCGCTAGTACCTCTTGCCACAAGTTCCCAGAATCCTTTGCAGTTTTACCCCTGAATGACGTCACATTTTCAATCTTTATCCTGGTGGGCCGGTCTCTAGTCAAAATGCTCGGGCCGATTTTTTGTCCCAGTCCAGCCCTGCCGGCTTTCCACGGTGCGGCGAAGCTCCTCCGGAGGGTTCTCTAGCCACAGCCCGAGGAGAATCTCAACATTATACGTAATGTTGTCCCGGAGCTCCTCGGACGGATTTACTGCCACTGGGTCCATGGTGGCTGGTTCGTACTGTCACGTCCGGTGTGGCAGACGTGTGGAGTTGTAGAAAGGACCCAAAAGGCGGCAGCTCTGGTGCAGGTGAGTATTTATTTACAGGAGTGGGTACAAACAGCAATGGTGGGTGAACATGAAACTGGAAAACCTAAACTGGGTAAAACTAACAAAACAAACCAGAAACGAAGATGCAGGGAGGTCCGGGGAAATACATACGGAGAGACGCATGGAGACCGAGGGGAAACAACACAGACGAACCAGCAACGACTAAGACAGGAGACAAGACTTAAAAACACTCAGAGAACACAGGGAGATCACGCACAGGTGGGGGACACAGCTGGGAGTGATTAACGTGATGAGACTAGGGAGGCAAACTAAAAACACTCACATAAGACGCAGACCTTCAAAATAAAACAGGAAACACATACACGCAATGACACAACAAACAAACTTCACACAGACTGGGGAACACATAGGAACATGAAAACAAAACCCAAAATAATAATAACTACTAAAACATAAACACGGAGTCACAAACTCCGGATCATGACAGTTACCTGCATAATCTGAGATGTTTCTTTTTAATTTTTTAACAGGTTATTTTTAAGTCAACCAGTTTCTAATAAAAATTTTCCAGTGTAATATGTTCTATCAAGTAACATTTTGTTCTGTGTATAGTAAGAACACTTGGTCCATGAAAGAAACTTTCATGGAACAAGTGTTTTTGCTTTGATTACGGACATGTCATTATCAATGTGCAGTTTTGTGTTGAGTCTCATATATGGGCTTAGAGCAGAGAGATCGAGTAGACAGAAAATGTGGTTGCCATGCTGCTGCCATGTGCATTGATGTCACACAGAATAAGATGATGGTTAGTATAAAACAAGCTACTGGTTCAGGAGGAACATTTTTCTATTTTGGATTGGTTTTGATTGATTTTTTTATTTGCGTTTGTATAACTTTTGTTTGTGTATAATTAAAAATAAGTAGGTTCCTTTTGATAAACTGAAAGCACAGACATCTTTTCTCTTCTTTTGGTATTCCCACTTTCTCAGCTCCAGAAGCTCTTCACAGGAGAAAAGCCAAAGGTCTCCATGTCTTTCTAAGTGTTAGAATTAAGCTAACCCATATCCCCCATGAGGGGAATGTAACTCAGACTACTGAGAAAGAGACACTATTTTAAGGTAAATCAGAGCTGAGACTTGTGTTTGGCAGTTAGACACCAGTAATCCCTGGGAGTAGAGATTTTGGTGACAGTTTACCTTCCACCTCAGTAAGAACATGGTAATAATTTAATCAAGGTCGTTTATAAATTCCTATGTGATTTCCAAATGGATGACCATGCAATAACCTGTTACTAAAATTTATATTATAATAGTGGCGTAGAATTCAAATGACAGCATTATGAATGACTAGAAAAAAGATAATATTACCGAGAAACCCTTTTAAAGATGCCAGCAAAAACCTCTGACTAATATTATGGTAATATTTTTGTAATAATACAGTAGACTGCTAACAATCAATTTTAAACATTTTAAACATTCAGCCTAATGCCTTTAAAATCATATGAAAATATCTATATGTTGATAATGGTGATAGACATATAATTTCAGTATTTGCACTATTTACTTGTTTTATTTTAAGGTAATGCAAAAATGTTGTGTTTTTTGTTGTTGTAGCTTATATGAAACAGGCTTCAAAATACAAAACGATACATTTTGAAAACTACTTTTAATATTAATATTTTCAAACATTATTATTTATAATTATTCATAAAGCATGAGTGTTAAAGATATTTTACTGTACACCAATGGGCAATAGGAGTTTACCTTTTTTTAAATCTTTGTTATATATAAGCAACAAGCTGAATGGTGGTCTAACTTTTCAAATCACACTTCACGAAGGTTTTATTGATTTCTCTTTTTACACACACGCAAAAAAGTCTCACATTTTAATGTTTCTTTAAGAGCAGTCTGTATAGGGGGCGGGGTGGGAATAAACTCATGTGGCTGTGGAGTTCCCTCTTAGGCCGCTAGGTGCGTCTCTGCTCCACGAAAGCTTCCGAGAGAGACTGGGGGCTGGAGGAGAGGAGGAGGAGGGGGGAGAGGAAGAGAGAGCGAGAAAGAGAGGACGGCGTTTTATCAGCCAAGTGCAACCTGAATCGTGAGGAGCGGACGATGGGGGGGAAAAAAATCCCACTGTTCTTTCTTTTTCTCTAACGTGACCGTCATTAACATGTAGACCGATTCGCGTCAAAAGACCCGGAGCGTAATGGTTTCTTCTGTCACAGGAGAATTTTATAGTTGTGAATAAAAAAACCCATTTTGGATTAACGGAGCACTTGTTTTGGACTAAAAGGGTTTCCTTAATTTCTTTCTGCCCGTGTGTAAATGTTGGACCGCATTTAACCCGAGTTTCTACCCTCTGGAGTGAAAAGTGCGCCAGTCTTATTTCCAAGGCTTATTTCCAACGCTTGAGCGTCGGGATTTTTTCAGGGGTACTATGTGGCTTTTGGAAGGACTGGACCTTAACCTAACGGGACTTAAGGCACAGAGGAATATTGTCTGAGGTGGAAAAAACAGCGCATGGGATCGTTTCTTAACGGTAAACACACGCTCATACTTAACTCTGAGCACTGTCGGGTTTCTGTGGGCTTTGAGAATTCACCGGTAGAATCAGCAACTGTGATGCAGTGGGTTGATTTTGTTTTTTTGTTTTTTTGACTTCATGATTTACACTGCAGAATTATTTACAAGATGTGGTCGAGGACAAGTTTATGTGGTTGAAATAACGAATAGCATTAAACATCTCCAAATGACCCTGTTTCTTCTTAGTCTAAGATGTAAGTCATGGGAGGATCTGCGCCTTGATGAGCGTCCCGTGCACAGCAGAAAGCAGCATCTCGTCTTCTTCTGTCTGCCACTTTTGACTCTCTCACTCCGTTCCAAGCGCATGAACGCACAGAGCTGCGCACTCTCGCCGACCAAGCTGCGCAAAATACTTGCTTTAGAAAAGAAACCTTTAGGTGAAAAAGGCTCAGTGATTCTTGTTTTTCGTAAAAATACTGACTTGCTTTTGAAATAGGACATATAGCTGATATTCGTTACCGTCGGTCGATCGCTTACCACCTGCAGACTGTTTGTGAGCGTGCATTTCTGTCACTGTTCAGGAGGAGCTTCTGTTAATGAAAGAGAAAATATTTAAAAAAAATTGTCAGCATTAAACATTTGAGGCAATGTGTTTGGTGTGCAGCTGATACTTAACATTTATCGAAATTTGTCTTCGTTTTCTCTTGGTAATCAAATGAATGCAAACCTCCTCTCAGGCTGATTGCTGAGGGTCAGGATGGAGGGAGATTCATAAAGTGTGTGTGTGTGTGTGTGTGTGTGTGTGTGTTGAATGGAGTCTCTCTATCCTCTCCTCGATCCAGGAGGAGGAGGAAAGTTGCGCCCGTTGGCCGCTGCGGGGGCACCATCATCATATAAAACTGGATGAATGCGGTATTTGTGTGTGCACGCCTCAGCGACTTGTCTCACACACACACACACACACACACACACACACACACACACACACACACACAAATGCAGCAAAAAAGGACGCGTGGATGCTTCGATGTACTCCGGTCAGATACAATATTTAATGGCATTACCCCTTACCCCGTTACCCTTACACCCCTTTAAGTTCAGCCCAGATCAGGTACCTTTTGAGATGGTGAGAAAGAGCTCAGGTACAGAAATGTCTGCACTTCTTGAGCTATTAGAGCATCTTTTCAAATGCCCCGAAGATCCCAATCAAGGCTGGACAATCATGCATATTTATGTATTTGCTTCAAATAGGCTACTGTTCAAAGGCAGCACAGCAGATCAAGATACTAATGCATTTGTTGAGATTTCCAAAGATCTAGTAACTAAACTAGGGAATGCGGATTCCCCGGACTACATATGCCACTACCACCTACCCCAAATTACCACAGTATGTAATTAAAGCACCTTAGGGCCCACTTGATTAAATTAAAAGAAAGACATGGCATAACTCATAATGACATTCTGGAATAAACACGGAACGCATAGTATAAGAAATCTCAAGGCTAAACTGTTTCATTCATCTAGTAATGAGATGTGGATGAAGAGTGAAAGGAGGGCAATCATGTGAGCGGAACACTGTTCCTGGCAGTAGTTGATGATGACATGATCTGCAGATGACCTTTTTAATGAAGTTTCGCATTGCTGTGTTTGCTGTGGATGTGTTTGTATGTGTGATTTGGATGGAGGTAGGGGGCAGTCAGTTCATACCTCTGTGTCTCAGGGGATCTGATCTACATAGCTTAGCCCTGAAAGAAAATGTCCATTCGCCACTCATCAGTGTGATCTTCTTTTTGCTCATCACACACCTCTATCCTTTTTAACCAACATTTTTCTACTTTCCTTCTCATATACCAGTTCTGTGCATGGCAGGGAGCTAGTTTGTAAATTATAGATTTGTTGGTGACTCATGCTGTGGTCCTGTTGTTTCACCTCACTCTCCACTCGGTTTTTATTTATTTGTTTTTACATTTTTATTTATTTCTTTTGGAAGTTTCTCTTGTGTAAAGCAGGGAAGTTCTACTTTAAACTGTTTTTGTGCCACTGGGTTTGGTCCTTGTGAATAATCCTCCAAATGTAACACTATGAACACTGATCTGAGCTGAATATAAACTCCAGCCTGTTCCTTCTTAACAATTTACCAGCATTCTTGAGATATTTTCTTTCTCCCCAGACACGAGAGCACTGGTTATTCTACTCATATCTGTGTTGTTACTAATAAACGGACAAGCCATGACTTACTACTAACCACTTTTTTAAATTGGTCATATGGAAACGGGACCTATCTAAGGGTTTTAAGTGGTAAAGTGAAGATTATGTATTGTTGAATCAGTGGTATAGAAACACTGCTGAATGTACCATATTTTAAGATCTAATTACACTCGAATCGTGGTGATGAAGAAACAATTAGAGGATTTTAAATATGCGTCTTTCTTTCCTGAGACAGCACAAAATAAATTAAGTATTGACAGAGCTACAGAGAGGGCACAGGGATTTTCACTGAGCTAATTTGTCTTTAATATTTAAGATAAAAGTGGTTCAAGTTTACATTTGCAAGTTGTTGGTGCTTACAGATCCAGGCCACGATATACAAGAATAGAGATTCAGTTAGTTATTATTTTTTTTTATTAAATAAACCAAATCAACCCAAAGTAAAGTAGGGGGGAAACATAAACAGACACATATCAAGGTTATCCACTCATGCAAAACACCACTACATGCTGTGTTTATTACAGCTACAAAACACTTTTACGTTTGTGGGGAACCTATGAACAGTAGGAGTAAGAGTATAAACTATAATTCCTCTTCTCTGGCTTTAATAGTTTGATGCTGAGATTCTGCTTCAACATTTGGAAGCTCCTGGGCTCTAGGACGTGCTGAAGCTCATGTCGCTTCTTTTATCTTTTTGAATTTATTAATTGCATGGATTGTGAAATAAAACAGTCAGTCTGCATGCTTAAAAACAGAAGGTACAGACAGGATGTATCAAAATGTGAAACTCATCAGAAGTGATCATTTACACATTGACATGATATATGAATGGAGCCAGAGAGTCACAATTCCACCAACAGACCCATCCCTATAAAATATTCTGAGATGGAGCAAGCTGTTCCTGCTCAAATGAAGTAGACACGAAGGTGCACCAGGGATGGCCGAGGGGATAAACATGGTGTGCAGCAAAACAGAATACTGTTTTGTGCGACTTCTTTGTGGGAACCTTGTTTATGGCAGGTGCTGCTGAAAACGGCGCAATGGAGTGAGAAGACAATTGAGCCTTGTAACATCTCAGGAGTCCAATTTTTGTTTAAAGAGTTGGAGAACTTTGTCTGTAGCACAGAATTGCACAGGAGGTCTCAGGAGGACCCAGATTTGTTGAAGTACCTTTTAACTGCAAACTTGTCATCTGCACCATGTATTGCCACTTCTCTTCTTAATGTTGGAACCATTGGTTAGTCATATGTGCATGCTGTAATCCAGAAGTTACAGTTGAATGTGGAATAACTAGGAGCAGATTTCACAAAATGACCTGTTGCAACAGTGGCACCCTTTTACAATACTACAATCGAACTCAGTGAGTTCTTTATTGTGACTCATTCTTGTTTGTAAAGGTAGACTGCATAGCTAGGTGCACACCTAGTAGGACTGAAAAAGCCCGAATTAAAAAAATAATAGGTGTGGTCCAATAGCTATATTTTTCTATATAGTTGAACTATCATAATGTCCTGCACTGATAATGTATTATCATGTTGTGCAAAATCTAAGAGAGTCAACAAGAGTCCCCCATTATGTGAGACTATGTACTCTACTGTCCTACTTATGTCATGTGACAAGAAACTGTAATAACTAAGGAAATGTCTGAGAAATTCGTCAAGGTTTGTCTTTTACCTTGTTAAAGGATATAATTTAACCTTAAATTCACCACACACTTTAAACCTTAATCAAATTGTAATAAAAAGGTACATTTGCATACAGAAGTAAAATCTATAAATAAATAAAAAATATTCATACATAAGAGTTGAATGCTTGTCTGCTGGTGTCAGAAATTATGTGCTGTCCACTGTTGCACACACCTCGTAGTTCAGATATTAAACACTTTTTTCCTCTTGACATCAAAAAACAATGATTACACAAGAGCCTTTTCATTAAAAGAGAATGTGAAGAGCCAGAGTTCACATGAGTAACCGGTGAACTGGGATTAAGAAGGTCTTGGTTACATGCACGCTGGGTCACCCTTAAAATTTTAATAAACAAAATAAAAATGTACATTTTTTTTTTTTTTTTTTTTGGCCTGTCCCATTTGGCTCTTTTGCCATCAGAATTGTTGTCTAAAGGCAAAGAAAGATGCCCAACGGATTTACTTTACCAAACTGACCATCCCAGCCTTGCCGTAATGGTCCATTTGATTCACCTTTTATTGTTTATTTTATTTTCACTTACTGAATACGGGACAGACTTGACTGGGGGAAAGAAGGGGAGAAAGAAAGAGGGAAAGAGAAACAGCTGAGAAGAGGGACGGGGGAGAAGGGCAAAAGACAAAAACCAACAGAACGGGCAGAGAAAAAATAATGCATATATCAATCACCTGGATCACCTGCTGAGAAAGAAAAAAGAAAGCAAGCAGAAGAGAACAAGAGTAATAGAATAAACAACATCAGAATGATATATGGGAATATGACAGTAAATACTAAATGTTAAACATTATTGTGCAGCACATAAGATCAACAGAACACAGTGTGCTTTGAGGTAGGAGCCAAAAAGGGTGTAGTTTGTGGGTGTGATCACCCGTGTGTACACCTGTGAGCATGGACGCGCTTGCTGACGGACGTGGGTTACTGACCTGGTAGCCTGGCTGGCCCTGGGTGGGTCCGGGATGGGCGTGAGGTTCTGGGGGCGCTCCGTCTCTGGGCTGGGACCCGGACCGGGCCTCGGGGGCTTGGGTCCTGGTTGGTGTGTTGCCGGGGTTGTGGGCGGGTGGGTGCATGGGGGCCCAGCCCTGGAGCAGGGTGCCGCCGGTGCGTC